GCTCTCAAGAGCTACCTGGAGGTCCCAGGTAGAGAATCTGAATGTGCCGCCTTAGATAATACCATTTAACTGTTCAAATCAAGTTCAGGTTCAAGTCCACATTTTTCAACATGGTTAGCAAGACCCTCCAGGGCCTGGACCTGCCTCTCCAGGTTATCTTCTGCCATTACCCCATGTTCCTCCAGATCTCTTATCACCACGTGCCAAGATAATCCACTACAGATCTGATCTCCCCACCAGATGCCAAGTCTCTGACAACCCAGACAAAATCTTACTCATCTTTGAAATACGTCCACATACTCGGAAACCCATGACAACTCTGCACCTCCATGGCTTCTCCCTGGGGGTGGGAGAGCACTGCCATCTCCCTTTGGACTCATTTTATAGCTTGTGGTCCCCTAAGTCCCCCTAACCAGCCTGGCCTCCCCCCAGTATCAAGTGACCTAGCATGCAGTGAGATGATGTGACTTGTCAACTGGAGACCCTCTGCTGCCCTTCTACCTCAGAGTAAAGGCCATGGTGCCCACAATGGTCTACAAATCCCACCTGATCAGGACCCCTCCATCTCTGACCTCACCCTCAGCAGTCATCCCCTCCCCGCTGCTCCTGCTCTAGCCATGAGCCCTGCGGTGCGGATCCTGGAGTTTTTGGAATAGGCTCCTACTGAGACCCGCTGGGAGAAGGCGCCTCTTCCAGGACGCCTCCCTCACCTTCTTCCAGTCCCTGCTCAAATGCCCCTGGTTACCTACCCTACTAACAATCCCCACCTCCTCCTCACTCTTATCTCTTGACCCAGAATTTTTCTTTCTCATTGCACTTATCATCCCCTGACATGATATAGATTTATAATTTAGTTTTGGATGTGGCCTTTTGCCTACCCCTACATACCTAGAATGTAAGCTCCAATGGGTGCAGGAACACTATCTGTCTTGCCCACGGCTATGTTCCCAGTGCCTGACATAGAGTGAGTGTCAGTCTGTGCTGAATACACAAACAAAAAGACAAATGCATCTGTGACACCAGCGTCTACCACGTCTAGTGCACTGTAACTGGCGAATATCCTCCAGGCCTT